GGGATCACCTTGATACCATGCTCATCTGGAGCTTGCAAGAGTCATGGAGGTAGTCCCACCTCAGTCTGTTGTTCGAATCAATGAAGCTCACATACCCTGCAATCTTGAAGCCCACACCGTTGGTGTAAGGAGTGTGAGCAACTCCCATCTTGTTCTTACCAGAATTTTATTTTTCAGTCATAGTAGGAACAGATAAAGTTGCTAGTAGTAATTTCATATCAATGTTGGTGACTTATGCAAAAACATGCGATAATTTTATGTTAGTGAGGAACATTTTGCTCAATAGCAGTAGCCAAAACCAGTTGCAGTGTGCTGAAGACACATCATGGCATTAGAGTAACCTGACCACAAACTGAGCCAGAATCTTGGAGATCTTGCAGGCAGGAAAGATAAACATACTTAAGAAGGAAAGAAAGAAAAACACACCACAAACATAACTGTGGAGTGCTAATTAATTAAAGAAATAGTATCAAAGCACAGGATGGAGAGTTTTGCTTGTTTTTCAGGTTTTCCAAGGCTGTGGAAATCCTAAAATCAGCACGAAAGGCTCCAGCAGTGAGGACAAGAAAAGGCGGGGGAAGGTCACGTTGGAAGAAAAATCATCTGCGCAAGCACTGAAGATGCTGGTGAGTTTGACTCCAAAGCTCCCTCCCCTCCAGTGTGCCAGGGCAGGCTGGTGCACTGCCTCCCTGGGAGCCCCAGTAGCACCAGTAGCCCAACTGGTGCAGCGCTGGGTCTTGCGGGTCAGGTCAGACCACCCCTCAGGCTGCTGAATCGCCTCTGCTGGTGAGTCTGGAGAAGATCAGATTGGCGAGTGCTGGTGTGACCTGAGCAGATGTGATCTTGCCTTGGCACAGAGTCCAGGTCTAGGTTGCTGATAACTGATAATATCTCAGGGATTTGGTGCCAAACTTACCTGAAAAGGCTCCTTGCCATTAGTGTCATTCAGCCTCAGGTGGTCCAGCCTGGATATTGGAGCCAGAGGTCCTCCTCCATGGAGATTTTGGATTCTGTGGACAATGAGCTGTGGGATCTGCCATAGTCCCACGTTTCAGAGGCTCCTCACTCACAGGCACCTGCCCGTCCCACCCTGGCAGAGCCTCCCACCAAGGGTGCTTGTCATGGCCCAGAAGATGATCTTTTCCTGGTTAATCTTATGGTACCAGAATAGTCCTGAGCATGTAACCTTTAGCCTTGGGTGCTTGGGCAGAAGGTTGATCCTTAGGGGAAGGTTGGTGACACATCCCTGTCTGCATAAAAACAGACTTTGCGGTGGTAAAACAAAACAACAACAAAAAAGGAAAAATAGGCAGGATCCTTGTCCTTTCCACAGCCCTGGAGCACCTCAGAGCTCTCCTGGCCCTGAGCATCCTCTTTGTTTACAGGTTTTAGATGCCAAAGGGAATCTGACAGCTCTCAAGACCTACTGGATCACCCTTCCCGGCAGCCTGTGCAGCAAAAAAGTAATGGCCAGCTCAGCAGCAGATGACAAGTGTTGGAACGGGATGACCAAGGGCAGGTATGGAGAGGGTCAAGGTGCCAGGATAGCACTGTTCTGGGGTGAGAGAGGGAGGGTTTGATAAAAGGCACCTAAACATCATCTCAGCCAGTCCCAATTGTTCGGGCTGAGATGAAAGGTCTGTCCCTGTCCCCAGAAATTCTGTGTTTCCTGAAAAACTGGTACCTGGGAATGTCAAGCCTGTTGTCACTTTGCTGTGTGTTGGGGGGTTAAGCATTGACATGCATTCAGCCTGAAATAACTGTGTAGGTTTGTACTAATTAAGCAGTTTTGCAATTCCACATGCACTGAGAAGGCAGGAGGGCTAGATTTACCCCACAGGCTCCAGAGCTGTTGATGAGAATTGTGTACCCATCTCTCTATCCATACCTGCTCTGAGCTGCTGTTCCCTCATGAGAGGAGGCACTTGGGTGACATCAAGCAGCTGCAGAAACCACCTCCCACCCATGGCTGAGGGCTAAAGGATGGCTGTGAGGGGTGATGGGCAGCTGCTGGACATGCACCTTTCTCTGCTCCTCTCCACAGACCTGCTGGGCTGGTCTCTGCCAACCTGGAGACAGCAACTTTTGGTTCTTCCATATTTCACATCGTTGCTGGCAGTGCCTCAGATGTGCAGGAGCAGATGGGCCAGGGCACTGCTGAAGGGAGCAGCTCAGCCCTCATTGCTGGTTGGCAGCTCCCAGTTAACTGAACCTTCCCTGGGGGCCTGTCTGGTTGTACTGGACAGGGGACATTCAGTTGTCCCAGGGTGTGAGCCCCCACAGCATTTAAGCAGGGCAGGGATGAAGGTGTTCCTCAGCCTCCTGTATGGATGGAGCTTTTCCATCGGGGAACATAACTGTGACTCCACAGGTACCAGCCTGAGAGCAACCCCTCAGCCTTTCCTGTAGGAGACCCCTCCCCATGCCAGGACAGTGATGCTGCAAGGCCACCAGCCACCTCCTGCAAGCTGAGGTGGCCTCAGGGAGAGCCCCGGGCTCTGATGGGGTCTCGCCATGGCAGCACGGCTTGGCCATCCGAAGAGCTGGCCAAATACCAGTATATGGAGGTCATTCAACAAGCCAACACCACTGACTGCAGCTTCTCTGGGGTTCAAAGAGGCTGGATTATCACCGGTGTCTGTAACGAGAAGAGGTGATCTCGGCTGTGGGGAGACATCTAAACCTGTCGCCTTCCTTTGCAGTTACCTGCCCGAAGTGATGGGGGACGGCCTGGCTAATCAAATTAACAACCCGGAGGTGGAGGTGGACATCACCAAGCCAGATATGACCATTCGCCAGCAAATCATGCAGCTAAAGATCATGACAAACCGTCTGGGCAACGCCAACATCGGGAACGATGTGGATTTCCAAGACGCAAGTGAGTTTAGCAGAACCAGAGAGGTCCATGGCGAGCGAGAGGGGCCAAGCAGCCACCCCTGCCAGCCTGCATGGACCTCTGTGCAGACCCTGCAGATGGGCCTGCATGGCAGAGAAGGGTTGTGGCAACCTGGCTTTTGGTTCAGGGCTGCAGAGGGTCTGCTCAAGTGCAGCCACATCGCTGGGGGGTGGCTGGAGGCTGTGCTGCTCTCAGAGCCTTGCTGAAACCTCGAGGGTTCTCTCCAGTCCCAGCCCTCCTGATGGGGCTGTTTCATAGAATGGAACAGCTCAGGACCTTAAAGATCATCTCATTTCCAACCCCCCTGCCCTGGGCAGGGACACCAACCACCAGACCAGGTTGCTCAAAGCCCCATCCAGCCTGGCCTTGAACCCCTCCAGGGATGGGGCATCCACAGCTTCTCTGGGCGACCTGTTCCAGTGTCTCACCATCCTCAGAGGAAAGAATTTCTTCCTAATATCCTAAATCTCTTCCTAAATCTCCCCTTTTAGTTCAAAACCATTACCCCTCATCCTATTGCTCCTCTCCCTGATGAAGAGTCCCTCCCCATCTCTCCTGTAGGCCCCCCCTTAGGTACTGGAAGGGACTATAAGGTCTCCCTGGAGCCTTCTTGTCTCCAGGCTGTGGAACCCCAACTCTCTCAGCCTGTCCTCCAGCAGTTTCCAGCTGGAGCAATGGGTGGTTAAAGCCAACTAGAGATCAGGTATGGGCTTGCATGCCAGGGAGGAGGAGATGGCCAGGGCAGGGCTGGTGGCCAGAGCTCCCCGGGGTTGCAGCAAGGGGATGGCAGGGATGGGGGCTCACCCCGCGTTTGTCTCTGCGCAGGTGACGACATGAGTGGCTCCGGGAGTGGGGACAGCTGTCCTGACGACGTCTGTGGCAAAAGACTCTCTAAGAGCCCCAGCACCAGGCAGCCAGAAACGCACGCTATTCCTAAGCAGTCCGGACACGGCATCAATGGGGCCAGCAGCAGATCTTTGCCTTCTGCCTTCCTCCTCCTCCTCCTCCTTTGGGTGGCTACCGGGCAGCACTTGTGCCGGTAACTCACCAGCACAGCCAGGAAAGAGACTGCGGCCAAGGGCTTCACTTTGCCAAAACCGACCGACTGACCGACCGACAAAAGGACGTATTTAATTCACCTTGGCAAAAAAAAAAAAAAAAAAAAAAAAAAAAAAGAAAGAAAGAAAGGGGAAAAAAAAAAAAAGGAGGGAAGAGAAAAAAAGGTTTCAGTTGTTTGCTATTTCTGGCAGTGCTCGAGCTGTTTTCTTCTTTCTTGGTCTCTTCCCCAATGCTGGGTCCTTCTTTCCGTACCTCATTGTTTTACTTTTGTTATTGCCACAGGACTGGCTCTCGGGGCTGCCACCAGCCTTTGTGGGGAGGTCCCCGGGGGGGAACCCACCCCGGCCGGCCCCTCGGGGGGCAGCTCTCCTGCTGCCTCCAGTGGAATATGCAATTGCCCTGACCTTGTTCCCCAGCGCTGCTGACCCTGCGCTGCCCAAAGCACTGCGGCGCCGAGAGCAGCTCCACTTCCCAGGATGGAGAGAGGGAGACCATCAGCGTTGCTTCAGGGCTGCATCCAGGGGCTCTCTCTCGGGTTTGTGGTTTTTTTTTTCCTCCTCTGTACATCCTGGGCAGGCAGAGACAGCCCTTCGCTTCCAGCGGCGTACGTAGGAGCCTGAGCAGGTTTGGTGGGTTGAACTGCAACAGTTTGGCTGTTGGACCCAAAAAACGCAGAACTCCCTTTTTTTCTTTGGAAAGGTCACGAGTGGGTTTCTCGACTAGAGCTCGTAGCTGACGACAATTTGAAATGTAGGTCTCCTGCATCTAAGTGACTGGGAATGAGTGTTAGGGATTGGGGTTTGGGGTATTTTTTTCTTTGCATGCTAGTTGGAAAGCCATTTTTTTACCCAAGTAATAATGGTCCAATTTCTACCTGCAGTGCAGTACCGGCGTAGGTAACAGAGAGATGAAAATATGCACAGCGGGATTCTCCGCTTGACAGACAGTTCTGCTGCCTCCTCCTCCTCCCATGGCCCCAGCCGTGGGTGGGAATCCCTTTTTTTTTTTGGTGGTAAGAAAGACTTTTTACTAACTGGAGTGGAAAGCCATTTTTTTACCCAAGTAATAATGGTCCAATTTCTACCTGCAGTGCAGTACCGGCGTAGGTAACAGAGAGATGAAAATATGCACAGCGGGATTCTCCGCTTGACAGACAGTTCTGCTGCCTCCTCCTCCCATGGACCCGGCCGTGGGTGGGAATCCCTTTTTTTTTTTGGTGGTAAGAAAGACTTTTTACTAACTGGAGCATTGGGGCTGGTTGTGAGAGCTCACACACGTGGGAGCAATCTCCCAGGCAGCAGCCTTAGGGCAGAGAGGGGTCAGGGGTGACGAGCCCTGGGCAGGTCCCTACCCAGGGGACTGGCTCGAGGTAGCACCTACCGGGGAGGACATGGGGATGGGACATGTTTTGTTTGGGATATCTTTTCTTTTAGTGTTTGTTCCTGTTGTATTGTAGGTTTTTCAGTGAATTCCCAAGCATTGGGGCTGGTTGTGAGAGCTCACACAGGCGGGAGCGACCTCCCAGGCAGCAGCCTTAGGGCAGAGAGGGGTCAGGGGTGACGAGCCCTGGGCAGGTCCCTACCCAGGGGACTGGCTCGAGGTAGCACCTACCGGGGAGGACATGGGGATGGGACATGTTTTGTTTGGGATATCTTTTCTTTTAGTGTTTGTTCCTGTTGTATTGTAGGTTTTTCAGTGAATTCCCACTTTCCCTGTCCCTTCCCCATCCTCCCACGCACCTTCACTGCTGAGGGATGGGGTGAAACAACGGGTCAGACACCCACCAGCAGCTCTGGGAAAGGCCAGGCTCACCCTTGGCCACCCCATCCCACCACGCACCAGCCGCTGGGTCACACAGGGGGCTGCCCAAAACCCAAAATACTTGGTGGGGTGGACTCTGTGCTGGGTTTTGAGACTGGGGGGTGGTCGGTGAAAGATATAAATATCCTCACGTAGCTGTAGGAGTATCTGTGCTCGTAGGGCTGTTGTGCTTCAGGGCTTCCAGAAGGCTTCTGTACGTCACAGGTAGGGCAAACGTCAGCTGGAGATGTAGGTGTAGCAGATGTGATAGATACGACACGGTCACTGTGACCAGTTGGGCCAAGAGCACGCCCAAGGGTTGGGCTTCATTTGTATGGCGTTGGGTTTGAGTTTCCAAGGTGTTTGTACTCCTGAGAGGGAGGGCAGAGCTGTGTCTATCTCCTGCTTCGCTGGTCTGCGCAGCACAGGTTGGAGCATCTCTCCTCTGTCCTGCCAGAGGAGATGTGCCATTGGGCTGAGCAAACGTTATGAGGCTGGGGTTTGGCTGTTTTCTAAGAAAGGGGGAAAAAAACCAAACAAAAACCTAACATTTTTAACATTAGCAGTTTCTAGAATGTGCAATTTGAGAAAAGAGGAGAACATGAGCAAGGTAACACCAAAATGTGGCGCAGGTAGGTGCGGAGGGAGCTTCTCGCCTGCCCTCCCTGGGGCAGGGGTCCCACCTCGTCCTGGGGCTGGGTGATGATGCTTGTGGTTCATCACACTGGGCAGAGATTTTAGGCCAGTTTTGACCAACCACTCCAAGTCGCAGTGACTGATGTGACTCGCTTGGTGTCCTTCCTGCCTGCTCACCACCTGCTGATCTAACCTGGTGGGGTTTCAGAAACGAAAGCCAGGATGCTGGACGCTGGCTAAAGGACAGACAGCACCAGCAGACCCATCAACACATCTTGTTTATCAACAAGATAAACACAACTCATGGATTTATACAGATTTATTTGCTTCTAGAAATATGTCAAGTTACGCATTTTACTTTTATTGCTCTAAAGAGTTCCTGTCTTTTTTTTTTCTTTTTTCTTTTTTTTTTTTTTAGCAATTGCCAATACAAATGTAGCCTTCAGTTACAGAAATCCCCACAACCAATCCTGCAGAAACTTTACATCCAAAGCGGGAAAAAAAAAAGTTGGGGGGGAGGGGTGTTGAAACGTTGTACCCTCTTCAAAAATGGTTGGGTTGGGTTGCGAGTTTTAACAGGCGACTGCCAAGGTCAATGTTTTTGCTTTGCTGAAGGAGGGATTGAAAGGGAAGTCCCCGTCGTCTCCATTTCTGTGCAGTCAGCGTTTGCTGTCAGCTTGTTACCCTCTACAGCTTCTTACGGGCCCCAGGGGGAACACACCTTCAATCTGAAGCCAAGGATTTACTGCTCTTCCAGTTAATATTTTAACAATTTAGTAGCCCAAATTATTGGCCCTGTTTTGATAGTAAAACCTGATAGTCCAAATTAATAAGGCAAAGGTTCAAGGATACAGTAAAAACCATCACACAGGAGAAACCCTCCCTGATACCCCTCCCCGCTGTGGCTGGGGTTGAGCTGACGCTTCAGTGTCCCTCTGGGCCCCGAGGAGGAGCAACCTGTTCTAGGTGGACCTGCTTTGGCAGGGGGGGTTGGACTAGATGATCTCCAGAGGTCCATTCTGTGATTCTGTGTTGATGCTTCAGCCCTCCTGGAGCTGGGCTGGGGTTGGACATGGTCGTGGTTGGCAGCCTGAGGTCTGCGTGGGCGGCGAGGGCAGGTCTGGGGGCTCTCCCCCTCTTTGCCAGGAGGCACATGATGTTGGTGTTGATGCTTCCTCCCTCCTCACCTCGGGTCCACTTGGGTTTATTTTGGATTCCTTTTCACACAAGTCCGCCTACGCTGCTGCTTTCCATCAGTTCCCCGTTATTTAGCTTTTCTGTTCTCTTCCTTATCCCAAAGCCATTTTCCCAACCTGTTGTAGTTTGGTGGCCCGGGGCTGCATTTGGCCGTGCCACCTTCTGCTGGGGAGCCCAGACAGCCGAGTCCCCCCAGGGTATCGACCCCGTATCGCTCTACGCTAAAGCAAACCCAAAGCCAACCATAGTTACCCAAAAACTAGGCATCTGCTGGCACAGCTCAACAAGCTGAAGTCAGCCCAGGCTCAGACAAGCCCTGACCCCACGCTGGGGCTGGCACGGAGCCTGTGGCCTTTTCAGTGCTTATAAATGACATTTCCTGGGCTACCACTTGCTCAAAACGGTTGTGACAAACGTCCCCAGGCCGGTGGTGGCCGAGGGCTGCAGCCACGGCGGTGGCTGGTGGCCACCATGCGTTGGGTGTGAGGATGGGGAGCTCTGGGGAAGGGGGGTGTCTGGGGAGGAACGTTTGCTTCCATGTTATCCAGGTGGTGATTCGTGGTGTTTCAGTTAGAAAAGGCCTCGTACTTCACAGGGATGTGGCCGGGGGCGGGAGGTAGTGGTCTAGGGAAAAATATTAACGAGGACCCCTGTCCCTGGAAGGGGGAGAACCAGAAATAGTGGATTTCCAAGTGTCTCTGTCTTTCAGCCTGCTCTTTCGTGCCATAACGTGTATGTTTTAACTAAGGGCGAGGGTCTCAAAAGGCTTTGAGAGCGCAGCTACTTATCATTTACAAATGACAAACTGCCTGTTGTTTTTCCGGTGGGCTTGGTAGGGGCTAAGGTAGAGCGAAATATCTAAAGTCCACCTTTGCTTTAAACAGATGCATTTCTATCTGCAGAAGTAAGAATTATTTCACTTATTGGCATAGCTGGACAGTTATCTATTTCTTTCTGTTACCAAGGTACTTGTAACTCTCTTGCACTGTTTATCTAAAGTTGAAATATGTTCTTTGAATCCTTGTATAAATAAAAAGGCTGGAGACTTAAATCTGTATTTACAGGGCGGTTTTCTTTCTTCTTCTCCATTTAAGCTGAGTTTGGAGTTTTCTTTCTTTTCCCTCGTTAAGGCACAGGTGAAGGCCAGGTGGGGAATGACGGAGGAGTGACATCGTGCTTTCAGCCACAGGGTTTGCAACGGGCTGATGCTGGGAGACGGGGGGTTTGCCTGTGTTCAGCCCCACAGAATTTTGGAGGAGCAACTGCGGGGGCTGTTGGGCAGTGATGTGTGCGGAGACAAGGTGAGCCTGGTTTGACTCATGGAAGAGAATGTGCTGGATCTTCCCTTCCTCATACAGGTGCGCAAAAAGTCATGGCATAATAGTACAAGGAGCTGGAAACACCCGTGAGACAAGGTGAGCCTGGTTTGACTCATGGAAGCGAATGCGCTGGATGTTCCCTTCCTCACACAGGTGCACAAAAAGTCATAGCATAATAGTACGAGGAGCCGGAAACATCGTGGTATTTGTCATTCCAAAGTGTTGTCCTAATTATTTGCCGTGGCCTCGTACCGGTGTGGCTGCGGGCCGTCGCAGTGACCTGGAGGTTTGGGATGGGTGCTGCAGAAAGGTCTGTGCTTCAGCTCTGCCCTCTCCCCTTCCGGAGAGCACAGGGGTCACAGTGACACCTCGAAAGCTGCTCATGAAGTGTCAAAAGAGATTTGATAACTGGAAACTACTAAGATTGTATCTAGCTGCCTGGAAGCAAATATCACTTAAATTTAATAAATTGAGTGCTACCCTTGAGTGAGTAGGTATTTCTTTAGCTCCCTGTCCTGCAGTTACAGCTACTTGCACCACATGCACACAACGTAGAAAGGTTGGTCTTCTCCTTGGAGAAGTTGTTTGCAGACCAGTCACCTCCTTTGCCTCCCCTGTGTCTAATTATGATCTTAAGGAATGGCCACTTCCAGCTGTGTGTGTCTTGAAGCCGTTTGAAAACTTGTCTGTTGGTTTGTAATGCTGCTGAGCAGCCCGTGTTTGCACTGCTAAGAGCTTGCAGAAGGCCTAGGGTGGGATTGAAGCTCAGCTCAGCTCCTGCTTCCCTGAGCAGGGAAGGTTTCAGGGGCTCTAACAGCAGCCCCTGACCTACCAGGAGCTCACCAAGACGATGGGGCCACGCACTTCACAGCGGTGCACGGTGAGAGGATGAGAGACAGCAGAACCGGGGCTGTTTGTGCCGTACCCCAACCAAGAGTGACACCAAGACCTGAAACACCCCTGAAAACCTGAAACACCCCAGCAAAATCTGGACTGAGGCATCAGACCTTTTCTAGGCAGAGGATGAAACTGTTAACCCTGCAGTTCAACCATCTTCCTGCAGAGGATGCAAATGTCTTCACTGCCAGGAGGTGGCATGTGCTTTTAGCTTATAATTAGACTCCATGTAACGATAACTACCCTGTTCTTATTTCCTCCTCTGCATGGGGCAGGCTGGTGGGAAGGGACAACCTTCCAAGCATGAAGGACCGTCCTCAAGTCATCTGCTGGCAGGTGGCTAAGAAACATCCAGAGCCCCACCGAGAAGCAGCAGAGAGGGTGCCGAAGCGGTGACACTGGACTGTGCTAATGGGACAAGAGAGCTGCTCTGGGATGGTGGCACCCAGGGGCCTCCTGGACCAGTGCCTGGGTGAGCCACGGAGAACTGGTACGCCAGTAAGTCACACCAGGTATGTCTGGCAAATCCCAGAGCAATCTGCTGGGCGGCTGCTGCCCATACGGATCGGTGGAGGGTTCCTGCAATATAAAGATCACAGTTTTGGTAACAAGAGCAGGTGTGATGGAAAGACAGTGGGCACATTGCAAAGGGAGGAGTGTTCTTGCCATTAAAAATAGTCATTTACCAGGTTTTTGGGCTGCAGTGAAGCCGAGTATGACACACAGACACAAACAGCAGGCACTTGGGAAGGAAAACAGAGCAGTGAAATACATTTTTCTAATGGTGGGAGGTGACACCGCACAGCAGAAACGCATCTGAGGAGGTGGTGGGGATCCCTGTGCCCTGCTGGTGCAGAACATGGGGTGGAAGGGCTGTCATGGAGCAGCCAGCTCACTCCTGGCTCAGTGTCCCCCCAGGAACAGCAGCCTCTCCACCCTGGTCGGGCACACACCAGCGCCTGGGCACCACCACTGGCACCCGGGGAAAGGGAGGGGGTTTGGGGCAGGCAGGGGGGGCCAGGCCAGCAGGGAGCCAGAGGTGGCAGGGGTGCGGTGAAAGAGAGGACAAGGGTCCCTTGCCCACCAAAACCACTAAGCACAGCCCAGCAGTGCCCAGTTACCCACACACCAGTAGCTCAGACGCTGGGAGAGACGGGGAGAGCTAGTTATTGGGAAGTACACACAGGGCATCTCACTGCTGGGTACAGCAGCCCCACATGTAAGATGAGGAAAGGGCCAGCTGAGAACACCTCATCACAAAGCAACAGCAATTTAACTCCACACACTAAGGCACTCACAGCCCACACAAACATGATCCTTCACTTACAGAACAGGGGTGGGGGTTTTTTTCCCCATTAATTTCCATGAGCTGAAGTCACCCCTTAGAAAACAGGGGTGCTGCAGAAAGGGGACAGGGAGCCGGGGCAGGAAAGGTGCTGGTGATGCTTGACCAGAGGGGTGGGCTCCTTCCCCATTGCTGGGGGGGGGGGGGGGCCCCCACCTCCTCCAGGCAGCCCCAGGGCTGTCCCAGGCAGCAGCAGGGAGCTCCCAGTGCATGGTCCTGTGCACAGTGGGGCACATGCCAGGCAAACATGGCAAGGGGGGGCATAAGGGGCTTCCCCTGCCCGTCCCCCGCCTTATAGGCAGACAGGGGCCAAGGCAACACAGGGCCCCCATTGCTCAGCCCCCACCCCATGGCACCCCAGCCCCACCTGCCCTGTGGAGCTGCTGCTGCCCCCAGCTTCACCGTGGGGAGGGGAGGGCACAGGGACACCAGATGCTAGCCCAGGAGGCCAGACACTAGTCCAGGGGGACCCTTGGGGAAGGGCTGAGCTCCCCATGGCCCCCTGCCACGGGGAAGCACCCCACCAGCAGCAGAGGGGCAAGGCTGGACTTCTGGGACATGGGCTGGGGGGGGATGGACCATGATGCCAACTGCCACTGCCCAAGGTAAGGCTGTCCACAGCCATTGCAGAAGTGTGGCCATAACACACCATCATTGCATCGCAGTGCCAGGACACCCACCCCCACCAGCCCACCCCCCCAAGACTCTCCATGCAACTGAGCATCATGAGCTACCACTCATGAAAAACTGCCCAGAGGGAGGTAGGGCCCTGGGACCTTCTCCACTGCTCTCTCCAGCCATGCCACCTGTAGTGATGCATCACCTGAGAGCCTTGAGGCAGCTGCCTCTCAATCACCGCCTGATGATGGGCAGCTGAAATTAACGACCTGGTCCTTCTTATGTGGCAAAGTACTGGAGGTGTGCTCATACAGCTCCAGCCACTTTTGTGTCCAAAGAAAGTGGTGGGGCACATCTGAGACAACGCAGCCCTCTTCTCCTGCTGCATCGGGAAGGGAAAGATCACCATGCTCGTCCTGATGGATGTAGGTATGCTCCTCATTGAAGATACATGGGTGCAAATGAAATACTATCATGTCTTTCTGGAAATGACAACTGGGAAGGACACTCTGGAAGGAACTCTGGTGATTGTAAGTGTTCTGTTTCTCCTCTGCTGCTCCTCACCCTTTGAAATCCTACTACAGCACTCCTGCCAGCACCACACTCTCAGCCGACCATGACCCGGGCAGCCCCTTGGGAGCTCTAGTCCAAGAAGTTCTCACTCCACCAGGCTCTTGGGACATTCTGCACCTTGGCCACACCAGGGATGCCCCGGAGCCTGAGCTTTCAGCTCAACAAAACCAGTCCCTGTTGGGAGCGTCCCGACTGCTACTCTCACAGAAAGCCAAGCAGTTTGTGATGTGGCGCTATGTCTTTGCTGGGCAGCACCTGCTCGTTAGAAGTCTGGGCTAGTGGTGATGAGAGAGCACCTGTGAGTGGTTCAGAGAGGCAGTGTCATCTCATGGTGGTGGGAAGCCGGCCATCTTGGTGGGCAGAGAGGTCATCTCCCTGGCCATCACCTCCTCCAGCCCTGTTCTCCTCTGCTGCAGGTCCTAGGGATGGTGGACTTGATGATATCTTCTAAAGCAGCCACAGCTTCCCTGGCTTTCTCTGTCTGGGTTATCTTTCCACAGTGTGTGGTGTTTGCCCATAGTCCTCAGCTGACCCAGGGTTTGCCTGCAACAGGCAGATGCTGGGGACTGCTGCCTCCAAAGCAGCTGGTCCCAGTTCCTTCTTGGCTGCTCTTGTTCCTCACCACTATACGTGGCATGGTGGGTGGCTTTCATCTCTGTCCCTGGCAGGTGGTCATGCCATTAGCAGAGCTCTGGGCCATTCAGGGGAACTCAGGTGACACTGATGTTCCATCACAGGCTGTGCTGCTCTGCTGGGTAACACTCAGGATAGTCCCGGGGTGTGGTGTGCTCGGCTTTGGTAACTGCTGGCCATCACGGCATGGCCAAAATGGCTCTGTGGGCTGGTGAATGAAAGGGATCGTGGTGCCTCGAGTCATGCCAGCACATTCTCCTTCCACACAGGTTTGAACTGGGGTATGTCCATAAACCACCACCCAGGGACGTCTACAAGGGCCCCAGAAAGCCCTTGGATGAGGCCAGGTAGAAGGATGAGCTTTTGCCATGTCCCAGGCGGGAGGAGGAAGGTAAGGCAGCAGCTGGCTCCTTTCCACAGCACAGGAAACCAACATGTGTCCGTATGACCAGGAAAATCCCCTGCGGTGATTGCACAAAGGCTCCTCATCTGATCCGTGACGTCACGGCCTGGGAATAAGGATGTGCCATGGAAATGCCAAGCTGGACGAGAGCCAGCACCAGAGAGGGTCTGAAAAATCCCAGAAAGCGTGGCTGCAGGAGAACCTAAGGGCCCTCTGACACTTCTAGGGTGGGCAGCGTCAGGACGATGCTCTCCTGTTGGGCTTTCTCC